GACGGACAGCAAAGATCATGTCAGTGGTGCTACTTGATGGTCTATGACTCTATAGCCACATTGAGGTTCTGGGAGGAAGTTTTCCGCCTCAGGAAGAAGTCTATTTAGGAGAAGTCTTAACATAATCTTGCCAGCTATGGACAGCAGCAAGATCCCGCAGTAGTTGCCACGGTCTGACCACTCTCCCTTGTTCATATAAATATTGACGATGGAGGCGTCTTTTAGAGCTTGGGTGATTTCCTTCTTTTCCCATGTATTCTTCAGGAGATAGTGGGGACGGCTGGTAAACATAGGTTCTCCTGCTTTATACACCTTGGATGGGATTACATCAGGCCCTGGGGCTTTGTTATTTTTTCATCTCTTTGATGGCAGTAGCTACCTCATACAGGGATGGAGGATAGAATGAGTTGGGTCAGCTCTGGATGCTGAGTGACCTGCTGGGTAGTCAGGACATCCGCATTAGTGTTTCGGTTGAACAGTGAATGGTAGAGCTCCTTCCAGCGCAAAAGCAGGCCCTCATCATCTTTAATTAAGGAGTTACCATCAGGTGAGCGGAGGGGGCTGCGCCACGAGTGATTGGCCCATAAAATCTTTTCGTGGAATTGGAAAAATTCATGCATCATGTGCTGATTTGCATATTTTTGTGTTTTACACGTTTTATTTTTATACCAGTCGTTCTTTTGATTGCGAAGTTCTCACTGGGCCGCCGCTTTCTTCTTCCGGAAGGTATCAGCTTTGGTCCGAGACTGAGAGTTGTTCTACCAGTCACTTAAAGCAGCACGTTTATCACTGACAAGTACATTGTTTGCCGGGTTATTTTCATCAAACCAGTCTTGGTGTATTCTTACGATCTGGTCTGAGGGTCTCTCTGTAGGTTTTTGTCATGATAGTGTCCAGAATATCCTATTTGGCACTGGGATTTGGGTTGTATGTTGTCGGGTTGTTTATCAGCCCATGCTCGAGCTACTCTCTGAAAGCATGTGCTACCGCAGGATCCTCCAGAAGCTTGTTGCCTTCGCCATTTTGGGGCGACATGAAGTGAGAGCTTGGCTCTATCGAGCCAATGATCAGTGTCGCAGTGGTCTGAGCCACGCATGGCATGGGTGATGAGGACATCTCGCATGGCATGGGTGATGAGGACATCTCGCATGGCATGGGTGATGAGGACATCTCGGCGATCTGTTTCACTGCCAATGATGTAGTCAATGAGATGCCAGTGTTTGAATCGTGGGTGTTGCCACGAACCCTTGAACTTGTCGGCCTGCCTAAACGAGATATTGGTGATAGTGAGATTGTGTGCAGCACACTTCCTGAGGAGGAGTAAGCCATTGGGATTACAATTGTCTAGTCCATTTCTCCCTATGGTTCCCTGCCAAATGTTAGCCTCTCTGCCAACTCTGGCATTGAAGTCATCAAGAAGCACAATCTTAGTTTCTCTGGAGATAGAGGTTATCACTCTGTCGAGGTCGGTGTTAAAGTCCTCCTTGATGTCATCCTCTGCATCCAATGTTGGGGCGTATACACTGATGAAAAAGCCATGACGTGAGTGACTCACTGCGACTCAAAGCGTCAAGAGTCGTTTGTTGATCCCAATAGGCATTTCGGTTAGCCTGTGTAGGATGCGTTGGCGGATGGCAAAGCCAATTCCATAAATGCAGTTTCTTTCTGCAGCAGGCTTACCCTTCCAGAAGAAGGTGTAGCCAGCCTCCCGTTCTGTGAGTCGACCCTCGTTTGGGAGCCGGGACTCACTAATGGCTGCTATGTCGATGTTATACCTAGCCAACTCTTTTGCCATAATGGCGGTTCTTCTTTCAGGTCACTCATTTGTGCCAGTATCCAAAAGGGTCCTGATATTCCAAGCAGCGTCCATAAGAGGTTGTATAGTTTGTTTTTGTTTGGATCTGTGATTTTGATTGTGTTTTCGACTGCATAAGGATGACCTTACTGGGTACCTTTGCCCAGTCGGGTTGGTTTTTTTAGGCAGGCTATGCTTAGGGCACCTTTTCTAGCCCCCTTCCCATGTGGGGTGAGGAGAGTGGCTCCTCGTAAGGGCTGCTTAGTCGCACAGACAGGACCGGATGCACCTCTGCCTCGATCCCAGTGCATAAACGACCATCTTATCTGTACCGCTCATGTCCTGAATTGTAACTAGAGACTCCCGGCAGTCATCTCTGCCTGTCCCCATCGTTTCTCGTCCGTCGCCATAGGACTTTAGGGTGTATTAGCCCCTTATTTCTTATATAAATGTCAGGGCAGTACACTGGGCTTATAAAATCATATCGCCACCTGTAACTTCCCATTGGCTATGAGGTGACATGGTCACATCACGTGATGGGTAAGTTCCTTGAGGCGCTGCCCTCAGACTGTTAAAGTCAGCATATAAAAGCCGGTTGCCTGGGCATTGTCACTCAGCACCTCACACCAACCGGACGTATTTAGAAGAGCAATTTAATATAGCCTCCGTCCTCATTTTAACACTCATAGCTCCAGTGATTAAGTTACGGTGATCTACACTTGGAACTGTATCTGATATAGTTTCTCAAAAAATACAGAACAGACATTTGGGTTTCGCTACTTAAACCCTATATACTTTTACATGTTCCAGCCCCATTAACCCAGAAAGAATCAACGGTTAAAGGGCGAGTTCATGGGGATATATGGGTTTTGATGATGATGAGAAGTATGATAAGCTGGATGATGTCTGTGCGTGAGTTGATTTATCTGGTGAAGCAGGAGCGCAAGCCGCAACCACACATCACGACACTCCCTTTTCCTGATCCAGTGGTGCACGTGTTTCAAGGACTGGGGAGAGTGAGAGTTGCAATGGAAAGCCGAAAGTCCAGTTTGTTAAGTTTCGCCTTAGAACCCCGTCCATCAGGCATTGCCTTCGTCCGCCGGTGTAGTCGTTGGGTTCCCATGGTGGTCACCTCTTCCGACTATGCCGCCGTTGGGGTCTTGTTGGAGCATGTCTGCCTGATGCGAGGATTAGCAGATTTTTCGTTTTGGTTTACTCCCATAGCTTTATACCGATCAAGGTTAATCCGCAAGGCAAAGGGGCTATGGTTGGTGGGTGCCAGGACGTATCCACATGGCAGTGGGCCTATGCGCCGTCCCTCTGTTACTCCGAGATGCCCTGCTGGTCTAGCCTGGGCCCACGAGGCACCCAGTTACCTTGTGTTGCCACGAGAAATCTTGATGGTGAAGTGGCTCTGTACTGGCAGGGGAAGACTTATGCAAGATGCTTCCCTGTTCACCATGAGAGCTAGCCAACGGCGGTAGCTGAAAGCGAGAGGAGCAAGCGGCGCTTGCACTTTGACAATTTTTTTTTTTTTTTACAGGGAATAGCCGACCCGGGCACAGGTCATCAACCCACATCGGGTGCCTGTGAGCGAAAAAATAAGAATAAAACTAAATTAAAAATAGAAAAGGAAAAGGTTATATTAATCTACATCACGAAGAAGCCGGAAAACCATCTTTTTAAAGCGAGACAGATTGTATGAGTTTGGAAATACAGGAAAAGGCACAGCATTCCACAGTTTGGCTGTACTAAAACGGGTTATACTAGTGTGACCGACATCCAGGCAAGACGTGTGTTACCAGCCCACGGCCTTGTCGGCGGTACACAGGATACCAAATCCACCGAACATTGCCCGTTAAAGTACTTGTAAAAGAGAGAGAGTGAAGCAACATTGCGGCGAAGAGAAATGGAAGAACGATTGTCAACTAAAGGAGGAGAGTTTATTGGACGAAATGCCATTGATTGCACCCTATCTAACATTATATGCATTTCACCACCCTATGTACGAACGCACACACACACACACACACACACACACACAGTGGAATATCACGTGAAATAATTGTTAATTTTACCTAATTTTTTATTATCTTTTTGCTTTATTTTCTTTATTCAGTCATATAGTCGTGAGACAACTCATAAAAGAATTGAGATGTATTTTAAGTTCATCTGTGTTAAAGTCATCAGATCGGGGAGATGATTCGCCAACAGTTGTCATTAACGAAAGTTTTGAGGATGTCTTGTCTACACAGGTTGATGATGTCACTGAGGTAAATTTGAACAATAACTGGACTTGACGTTTTATGAAGGTTATCCACAAACAAGGTTCCTAATGATTAATGAAACAAAAAGGGGTAAGTCCAATGTACATCGCCCCATACTTCGCGCGGCACCTGGTGGTGATATACAATGAGAGAAAAAACTTCTCGGTTACTACGTCCAAATTTCAGGTTCCTGTCACAAAAGTGCCTGAGATATCATTGAGATAAATAACTGACTATGATAACAAACCACTAGAATAATCACTGTGCGCCTCTTTAAGCTTCACTCAGCATCTGAAACGAAATAGGGGGTATGCAACAGCTGTACAATGCTGTCAGTTGCTGTAAAGTTACAGGATTTGGGTGTATTTAGAAATTGCGTATATGAGTGCTTATGTTCGGCTACCTGGTGGCGGGCGGTGGGGAGTAGTAGCTCCTTATCACAGGAGGCGATAAACATAGTTCCCTTGGGGTGAAGGCGATGGGAACGTTGACACATGGACTTTCCCAACAATATTTTCATGCATTTCACACTGAAGCTTATCTTCACAGTAAGAATACAGCAGCCCATAAGTTACGTTACAGCCTGGATGAGATGTCGACTGTTTTTCTCTCTCCTTCGGTCGGCTTTGCTCTGCCTCAGGGGAACGAGAGCTTCTGCCCCAATGCCGACAACAGCTGCAGATATTGACTATGAGGCAACAGTCAATGAATGCCGCATAGATCTGCAGCTCAACTAATTCAACACAGCTAGGATAGCTATTTATGTATTAGTATATTTAATATTAAGGTAATAAAATGGCGGCGAAGGTGTGGCTATTGGGGGAGGCTGGAGGCCACGTTTAAAAAAAAAAAAAAATACAAGGATGCTTGTATGTGCACGTGTGTGTGTTGCGTGGCGTCTGGTGGTGTGACCTTCACCAGTTTACTGTATATAAGAGAACGAGGACCTTCCTCCCACAATTATTTCTTCCCCAGCAGACATGGCTGGTGTCCCGTTAAAGACTTGCTTCCTGGGGGCCCTTACTCTCGCCCTCCTCCACACAGGTATTCTCACACAGTCCAATGGTCAAGAAAAAATTTCAATGTTGACTTGAAAATTCCATCATTGCTAATGAGGATTTTTTAGTTAATGAAAAAGTTTCTTTAACACGGTAGAAATTCTTCATTATGTGATTATGTGAGGACAGAAGACATCTGGTTCCGTAAGGTTATTTTGGCTTTATTGGGTTACAGGAGCAGCGGGGATTCAGTGTGAGAACATTGATATTGTCCACGAGTGGGATACTGGATACAAGGCGGACTTTAAGCAAATTTCTCCAGTGGATGTAGATGAAGACAACGGCCTCACTATGCAATGGACTTTCAGTGCTCCTGTAGATTCCATCAACGTACGTGCACCATTTTTTCTTTCTCGTGATAAAATTGAAATTAAATTATCAGTGTCTGTTGAAACTACTGAGTGTCTAATTATATATCCATCGATCTATCTCTCTATGTATATATGATGGAAGAATTTCAGTTCAGATTTATCAGGGGTAATCTCAAAGACAAAAACTATGATTTTGGGTCAGATTATTGAGAGGTGATGTGATATACAGTGGGTATTATTGTTGGGCAGGTACTTCAACACGATGAAAATGTGACGATTCCACAAGTATTTACATCTGCTGGTATATATTATATATGCACCACTTATAACTCTTGTACTGGACTGTACTGTATTGTTATAGCAAGTAAACACTCGTTAAGAAGATATGGGAAAGAATTTATAGTTCTAGGAATGTAAAGTGAGGAAAATTTGGTAGCTTGGCCGGTTAGTTATTTAACTTGGTATTATATATTTTGGGGAATACTCGAGACATCAATTCTAAGTAAAGCTATTTATTAGTTAACTCAATGACAGACACATTAATAGATCATTATATTGACGTTACTAGACAATGACTCTCGGACACAAACATAAAATGGATAACATCACCATTAACTCGAATACGCTGGATAGCTTCAAATGTAGGTTGGTTGGATAAATGAGCAATAGGGGTTGGGTGTAAATGGGACTGCCCAGTATGGGCCAATAGGCCTGCTGCAGTTTCCTCCATTCTTATTTTAAGAAAAATGTGAGGAAGGCAAAGAGGAACTATGAAATCAAAATAGTAAGAGAATCCAAGGCGAATCCCAAGGGATTTTTCCAAGTATATAGGACAAAGGTCAAGGACAAAGTTGGGCTTTTAAAGTCAGGGAAGGGGGGAAGTGATCGGTGACAGTGAGGAAATAAGCAAAACATTAAACAGCTACTTTTTATCAGTTTTCACAGAAGAAATTGACCAGGAAATTCCAGAGGTGGAACTGATATTTAGGGGAAATGAAGAAGAGAAAGTAAAGAATATCACTATCAGAAAAGAGGATGTTCTTAAGAAAATAAATAAATTAAAGAAGAATCCCCAGGGTCGGATGAAATTTTCCCTCGAGTTTTGAAAGAGTGAAAGGAACATATTAGTGGACCCCTCGTAAATATATTTACAAAATCATTAGACAGGGAAGTTGTGCCAGACTTGTGGAAACAGGCAAATGTAGTACCCATCTTCGAAAAGGGAGACAGAGCATCAGCGTCAAATGACCGGCCGATTAGTTTGACGTCAGTAGTGGGGAAATTTCTTGAATGAATTATAGCAAATAGCATCCGATCGCATCTATAGAAAAGCAAATTAATTTACGACTCTCAACATGGGTTTACAAAGGGAAAATCTTGTCTAACAAATCTGCTGACGTTTTTTAGGAAAGTCTTCGAGGTAGTAGATAATGACGAAAATTACGATGTTATTTACTTAGACTTAGCAAAGCGTTTGAAAGAGTACAGCATCAGAGGCTTCTGAGAAAAGCTAAGGCTCATGGTATCGAAGGGAAGTTTTAAATTGGATAAAATCATGGCTCACCCATAGAACACAGAGGGTCAGCGTAGATGGTACTAAATCTGAGTGGGGTTGTGTAACCAGTGGGGTTCCCCAGGGGTCAGTACTGGGCCCACTCTTGTTCATAATCTACATAAACGATCTAGATACTGGAATCAGCAGTGACATAAGCAAGTTTGCGGATGACACCAAAATAGGGCGGCAGATTAATTCAGGGCAGGATGCAAATGCACTGAAAGAGGATTTAAATAAACTGCAGGAGTGGTCAGAAAATGGCAAATTAAATTCAACACCAGCAAGTGCAGCGTCACTGTTAAAAAAAATCTTGTAAAATTTACAGAAAATACACTGGTTATATTGTTGCCAAACATTTTCTGTATAATTTACAGAGATTCTGTAAATATTTTTACATAAAATATCTGTTGAATTAACAAATTGTTGGAAGTTATTGGAAGCTCCAACAACTTGTCCCTGAATACGAATTCACAACTTTCAATTTACAGCAGGTACCTACTTTGCTGCTAGGTGATCAGAGGTGATCAGGGACCATGGGGACTAGGAAGAGTGTCCAAACAGCTTCCGCTGGCCCGGGAATCGAACCCGTGACATCATGCTAGTGAGGCAAGAGCGGTACCACTCCACCAGAACCCCCCAATGTGATTATATGGCGCTTTTTGAAATAATGTAAACAAACAAGGACATGCAACGAACGAGAAGCACAAACAACCGCCAACCGCATATTCAATAATTACATATAGAAATAACAGCATTAACATGCAATTTTAAGTGTTCTTTGCATCATGAAGTGTATATAGTGTGAAAAAATGTCAGTTTGTATTGACAATTAAACAAATTGAAGCAGAAAAAGAGAGTTTCTGAAATATTTTGCAGAACAAAAAAAGTAATTCAAATTCCTACGTTTTCCTGCTCGGAAATACAGAAGAAACATGTAAAAAATACTGAATTTTCTAACAGTATATACTTAATATTGGAAAAACAAATACTGTCAATGTATACAGCCTTTACAACATAAACCTAGAGAAGTTGACTTGTGAAAGAGACTTAGGGGTACTTGTAGGCCCGGACCTACGGCCTAGAAAACAGTGCATTAATGTTCGAAATAAGGCAAACAGAATATTAGGTTTTATATCTAGAAGTGTAAGTAAGAAGAGTGCAGAGGTCTCATTGCAACAATATCTTGCGCTAGTCAGGCCGCACCTCGATTATGCTGTTCAGTTCTGGTGCCCTTATTATAGAATGGATATCAATTCACTGGAGTCTGTGCAGCGAAAAATGACGAAAATGATTCCGGGACTTAGAAACCATCCATATCAAGATAGGTTAAAGAAACTAAACTTGCATTCCCTAAGAAGACGAAGAGTGCGGGGAGATATGATAGAAGTATTTAAGTGGGTTCCTATAATATCCGAGCAGGATAGGACTCGTGGCAACAGATTTAAGTTGGAAAAGTTTAGGTTTAGGAGGGAAATAGGGAGGAACTGGTTCAAAAATAGGGTGGTGGACTAGTGGAACAAGCTTAGCAACTTTATAGTAAGTGCTGGAATGCTGGAAAGTTTTAAAAGGAGGCTAGATAGATTCAAGGATGATAGAGAGTGGTAGTAACTCTCGACAGGAGCTGCCATGCACAGGCCAACTGGCCTATAGCAGACTCCTTATTTTCTTATGTTCTTATGTTCTTAACCGTAAGTACAGTGACTCACCCTAAGGACAGCGCTGACAATGATTCACGCGTGACCTGAGGGAGGCCCAGCAGCTGGGGAATGTCTGCAGGTGCTGCTGAAGAGAGTGCTGGACTCTGTCTCCTGCGGGAGACTCTGCTAGCTGGCAGCTCAGTGCTGGGGAGGGAAGTTTCCCTCCCGACCTCGACTAGTGACGAGCATGACTTCTGTCTTCTTCTGAGTTCTGTCTCTGGGAAGGAGCTGTCAGCCCCTTCACTGTTATTATAATAATTCCTCGTGGAAGGAGCTGTAGGATCCATATAATGGAGGGCACAAGCCGGCAGATGACCTCTCTAAATTAACACTAACCTGACAGGGGCTGGACAGCTGTGTTTGACCAGGTGCACGGTCATGTCGCTTTAATAATAATAATAATAATAATAATAATAATAATAATAATAATAATAATAATAATAATAATAATAATAATAATAATAATAATAATAATAATAATAATAATAATAATAATAATAATAAAATTAATAAAATTAATAATTATTATTATTATTATTATTATTATTATTATTATTATTATTATTATTATTATTATTATTATTAAGAGCTATATAATGCAAACTTTAACATGTCGTGAACCCGCAACATTCCTGATAATGTGGCGTATGTGCTTGTCATTGGCAGTATTACGAGGGGAGAGTGATCAAGAATGACGACTACCACTTTACCCTACAAAGCCACGACGTCGAAGTGGATAAGGGCGACAAGCTCTCGTTTGTTTTCAAAATACACTACTCTCAAGTGAAGCCCGTTATCAACAGTGAAACGATCAACTGCGTGCCCATCTGCGGTAGGTTCCTCTACTGGATGCCAGTCCTTACCCTCCTGTTTTTACGTTACAGTCATGCAGTCACGTAGATACTAGTTAAAAAAATATTTGCTAATGATGGACATGAAAATATATATTAACGAACCAGAGAATAGGAAAAATATAATAGTGTACAATCTAAGGTATGTAACATACAATATTGCCTCATGTAATGTATGAATCATCTAATAGTGAGGACAGGAGAGATCTGATTAATTTAGTTTATTTTGGCATTGTTGGGTTACAGGAGCAGCGGTGACTCATTGTGAAAACATTAATATTGTCAAAGAGTGGGATACTGGATACCTGGCGGACTTTAAGCAAATTTGTCCTGTGGATGTGGATGAAGACGACGGCCTCACCATACAATGGACTTTCAGTGCTCCTGTAGATTCCATCGACGTAAGTACACCTTGTATTTTTCTGGTGACAAAATTGAAATTAATTTGTCAGTGTCTGTTGAAACTACTGAGTCTCTGATTAAATATTCATCAATGTACTGTATATGTCTATTTACTTATATATGTTGAAGGGGTGTCAAATTCAGATCTGAAAAAAGCAAACTCTAAGACAAAAAAGAATTATTTTGGGTCAGATTATTGAGAAGTGATGTGACATACAGTGGATACTATTGTTGGACAGGTACTTCAACATGAGAAAGGTGTGACGATTCCACAAGTATTTACACCTGTTGGTATATATTATATATGCACCACTTATATCTCTTGTACTGTACTGTACTGTACTGTACTGTACATTATTTGTCAATCGAATGACCCACTCCGCAATTATGTAACTTTTATCATCTTTGTTTACTGTATAATTTTCAACCATTTGGTTTTCCTGTTCTTTCAATAAATCGTTTATTATTATTATAATTATTATTATTATTATAATTATTATTATTATTATTATTATTATTATTATTATTATTATTATTATTATTATTAAGACATATATATTACAGCATTTCGTATGTCGTTAACTCACAACATTCTTGATAATGTGGCGTATGTGTTTGTTATTGGCAGTATTACCAGGGGAGAGTGATCAAGAATGACGACTACCACTTTACCCTACAAACCGACGACGACGACGAAGAGGACGAGGGCGAAAAGCTCTCGTTTTTTTTCACGATCCACTACTCCCATGAGAAGCCCATTATCATCAGTGAAACGATCAACGGCGTGCTTATCTGTGGTATGTTCCTCTACTGGTTGTCAATATTTCTTACCCTTGTATTTTTACATCTACAGTCATCATGATACCAGTAAATAAAACATATATTTGCTAATAAGAGACATGAAAATACATCTTAAAGAACCAGAGGATAGGAAAAATACAATAGTGCGGTACTAAACATACGCGACATACAATAGTGTATTATCTAATGTATGAAACATACAATAGTGTACTATCTAATGTCTGAAGCATACAATAGTGTACTGTATGTAATGTATGAAACATACTATTTTGTACTATCTAATGTATGAAACATACACTAGTGTACTATCTAATGTATGAAACTTACAATAGTGTAGTATTTAATGTATGAAACATACAATAGTGTACTATCTAACGTATGAAACTTACACTAGTGTACTATCTAATGTACGAACCATAAATTTAATCTTAAGAGGTGGACGGACTATTACTAGGAGCCAACCTACCAGCTTACGCTCTCCATGTCATCCGGTACTCATTCCTTCACTTTCCTTACTTGTAGACGGGACTGCACCTACAGTTCAGCCCGTGGTCACTACAACTGAGGCTGTGGTGACTACAACTGAGCCCGTGGTGACAACAACTCTTCCCATGGTCACTACAACTGAGGCCGTGGCCACTACTGTGCCCGAGGTTACTACAACTGTGAGTGAGGTCACTACAACTGTGCCTGTGGTCACTACTACTGTGCACGTGGTCACTACCACTGTGCCGGTGGTCACTACAACTGTTCCCGTGATCACCACAACTGAGCCCGTGTACACTACGGTGACACCCGAGGACAACCCCTGTGAAGCAACTGGTCTGAAGCCGTACGACTACAGTCAGGTCAGAACCTTTGTAACGTTCCTCTCTTGGGAATTTTGCAGCAGAGAATCTCATATTGGGCCGTATTCAAGAATGTGGAGCGTAGGATATGCCAATAGGCAATGCTTACGTTTTGTATTAAAAAAGTGTATTTAAGCCTAAGGCGTGGTCAATGCCTATGGATATTACAGGGTAGTAGGGATTCCTTACGAATTATAGAAATATTCATGAGTAGGGTGAGAGCTCCCGAAGAGCAAGCCCTTTATAAAAAGTATGTTCATTATTTATACATTTCTTTACATCTAATTATATTAATTCACTGAATATAATCGAAAAAAATATGTAGAGAAATTTAGCTAGTTCTTAGGACCGATATTGTTTGCAACGTTCCTACCGGACCATTTAGATGATGCTTTGTTACTCTTTACGTGGATGACTTTTCCATCTCATATGCCTTTTCCCGTCTGGATGTGGCACAACGTCACATCCAACTGGCCCATACCCTTTTTACCTTATGGGTAGATTCCCATGGCTTCAGATTTTCTCCAAGTCTGTAGCAATGCAGTTTCTCGTCTCACATGGTTGCCACACCTTCGAGAATTAGTCTTTATTATTTGCGTGTCTCCGCCGGATGACTATCATCCGTATTTTTTTTTCTTCTTTTACGGGGACTAGCCCACCGGGCACAGGTCGCTAACCAACACCGGGGCCTAAGGGACGAAAATGTAATAATAATAATCATAATAATAATAATTATAATAATAATAATAATAATGATAATAATAATAATAATAATAATAATAATAATAATAACAACAATAATAATAATAATAATAATAATAATAATAATAATAATAATAATAATAATAATAATAATAATAATAATAATAATAATAATAATAATAATAATAATAATAATAATAATAATAATAGCAATAATAATAATAATAATAATAATTCATAATAGATTAAATTTATAATAAAAATACAAAATTAAAAATATAATAATAAAATAATAATGATAATAATAACAATGACAACACTGTAATAATAATAATAAAGAACCATAAAGAAAAAAATCAATAGTGGGAAACGAGAAATGAATGCTGTGTTGTCAATAGTAAGAGAAATAATTGAGACCCTGCAATTGTGTGTAAATGAGGCAGAAAGTCAAATCAGCAACCTGGGACTTGGTCACAATTTTCGTGATGCAATATAGTAGCAGGGTCTACCATTAGGCAACACATTATGCCTTCAATATCTTCCCAGGCGGTAGTACCTTCCTGTTTGATAGCTGCCGACTACCTACTACCTACTTTCCTTTGTCTCTTGGGGTGCTGATAGAACTATGCTCCTTCACCTATACCGTGCGTTGGTTCGGACTAAACCTGATTATAGCTGGGAGCTGTATTCCTCCGCAACTCTATCTCGTTTGAGTATTTTAGACTCTGTCCACCACATTGGTTTTCGCCTGGCTTCCGATGCTTTCAAACTTTCCCCATCCCCAGTCTTATGTGTGATGCGAGCCCCGCTGGACCTCCGATGACAACAACTGGCGGTAAGGATTTTCTATATCGTGCTCAGCGGTTCCCTAGTTCCCTTTTTTATGCCTCCAACCTGTGTGTCGGCTGCTACCTTTTTTTCCCCCACCCCGTTGTTTTTCGGGAGTCAAGGGTGCTTATATCCCAAGCCACGTTCGATCGCTCTTTATGGGGCATGCTGCTGATAAGGTAACTCTGTTCGACCTTCACGGACAGGTCGAAGACGGATGCTGGGTAGGATATTTTACAATGTGAAGGTCTTTTATTTTATCCACTGCACTGCACTGTACTTTTACATATATTGCTCGTTTTAAGGTATTTTACTATTTTTAGTGACTCGCGTAGTGCTCTACAGGCACTTAAGTTTTATAACTCATTTCACACCCTCGTTGTAAAATTTTTAGAGTGGCTCTTTTTCCTCAAGCAGCATGGGAGGGTGATCCAGTTCTGTTGGGTACTTGCCTAACTCGGGGTTGAAGACAATAAGGTGTCCGATGAAGAGGCGAGGCGTGCGGCTGCGGCTGCTGGCTAGTCGGGGGACTGTCCATCGCTTTTGGCAGGACCACTGGGATGGAGTGGCTATCATCAAAATGCGGGCGATAACTGATGTGGTGCATCCATGGTAGTACCCAACGATGCCTCGTCGGTTGCAGACCGCCTTGACTCGTCTCCATATTGGCCATACCCTACTGACGGACTGGTACATTAGGGACGGTGGCACGGCTTCCTATTGTGACGACTGCCTGGTTCCATTCTGGGAGACCGGCGGCGTATGTACCTTTCTCGGTGCCGTGGGGGAGATGGTTCTTACTCCCTTTCTGCCGTGCTGGGGAGGATTGTGTTATCCTGGGTGTGACAGAATATTGTTTTTGGAGGAGACTAGCCTCCAATATATTTTATAGTTTTCTTTATTCTTGTCGTTTCCTTTAGGTCGTTTTAATTTTCGTTTTTCTCTTTTCCATCATTATGATTTTACTTTATCCTTTTGCCATTAGCTATCTCCGGCGCCATATGAACTTGGCTGTTGCGGTGCTAAGATAATATTCATAATCTTTCTTTCATTGCTGCTTGAAGAGCAATTTATATGTGCATTACGACAGGTACAATATACTGGTACACTAAATTTCCATTTGAGGGAATAATATAAATTTCCTTGGACCTGAATGATTCGAGATGAATCAGCTTTATTCTCGTGTAACAGGAAATGGGCTGAGGCAGTCGGTTTCTAATATTCCGAAATGATGAACCAAAATTTATCTTATTCTCTAATTAATTCAACTGGAAGTGGATATTTAGCTGGGAATTCCGGGCTGGCCAGATTGGAGTCTATGTAGTTGGAATGTTAAGTTAGGTTGGAAAAGTCATGTATAGTATCATGATATATGGTTGTTATTTTCGTTTCTTAGGTCCATTTGGTTTTTCCTTTTTGGTTTAGCCAGGTTTGGTAAAAAATTATTCCCCCATAATATTGAAAAGTTTCCTAATGTTACTCTTAACCAGGTAACTTTTTAAAGTTTTCAGAAAACCGTTAGGTTAGGGTGGCAATAGGCTCTTCTTATGTAAAAAAAATAAAAGACCACCCTTTTTCACATGTTGGCAGCCCTGGAGCAAGACGCATGGTTTGAACGATTGCTAAAACTGTATATACTACATCGACGGTGTAGGCATTCACTACCATAATAATTCCTTATAGAGATGCCCTACAGTCCACGTTCTTGAATACGACCCATTAAGTTACCCACATGTCATAAAATTTTATGAGATAAAGACCACTAGTATCAGGACTGAGTATATTTGTGTTCATAATCACACTGAGGTATCTTACAGATATCTTTTGTTTTTGTCTTTGTTTAGGGTAACGACATCTATCTTCTATGTACACCTGGTACAATCATTGGTAATTGGTTCTGTAGGTACAGCACTAGTGGTAACATAGAAATACACAAATAATTTTTTTTGGGGGGGGGGGGGAATTTTTCACATCAAAAATTTATTTTCTCTCTTTATTATAAAAAGGGTTATGCACAATTAACGTATGATATCACCGTAACTAACCCTATGACCAATGACAGTTAGTATAGTTTGAAGCGAGTCTTAGCAAGCTTCATTAAAACACATTGATGTGTATGACAGAACTGGGCTGACTGGTGTAATCGGCGAATAAAATGATGGCCCTTCTGGACAGTGATGCGCAAAGGTCATTTGAAAGACATTGAGGTTGCCACTTTTGCTCCTTCTCCAACAATACGTGTTCATTTCTCCCCCTACCTCGTCCTCAGGTACTATGCATGTCGTACTTGTTCTATGAGGCCCAGCGGTCAGGTCCTCTACCTTCCGATATGCGCATCATCTGGCGCGGCGACTCTGGTCTTGACGATGGCTCTGATAACAATGTAAACTTGACTGGCGGCTACTATATCGGTAAGGAAACAGAAGAGATATAGCAATGTTAATACTAAAAAAATAAATATAATCTCATACATGCCATATCAACTGCTGTTTATAACTTCTCCTGGTACAGCTGGTGACCACGTGAAGTTCGGATACCCGATGGCCTTCGCCGCCACCGTGCTGGCGTGGGGCCTCATAGACTTTGCCGACGGACATGAGGCTGCTGGTGAGTCTTACTGTGTGCTTTTTCAGATCCTTTGAACGCAAACTTATACTCGAAGAATTTTATCCCTTGACTAGACTCTAAAAATCCCTTTCAGTTTTGTAGTGAATACCATCTATGTTTTCTTTATGAACCACGTGAGAAGATACACATTATTTTTCTGGGCCATGACAAGTGTCAAACTATAACCTCTAAGGACAGTGTTGTGAGAGACGCATGATCCTGGTGTGTCTCCCAGGGACAGTGTTGTGAGAGACGTATGATCCTGGTGTGTTTCCCAGGGACAGTGTTGTGAGAGACTCATCATCCTGGTGTGTTTCCCAGGGACAGTGTTGTGAGAGACTCATCATCCTGGTGGGTTTCCCAGGGACAGTGTTGTGAGAGACTCATCATCATGGTGTGTTTCCCAGGGACAGTGTTGTGAGAGACTCATCATCCTGGTGTGTTTCCCAGGGACAGTGTTGTGAGAGACGCATGATCCTGGTGTGTCTCCCAGGGACAGTGTTGTGAGAGACTCATCATCCTGGTGTGTTTCCCAGGGACAGATGTTGTGAGACGCATGTTCAGGTGTGTCTCCCAGGGACAGTGTTGTGGCCTCATCATCCTGGTATGTTTCCAGGGACAGTGTTGTGAGACGCATGGTCTGGTGTGTCTCCCCGGGACAGTGTTGAGACTTTCATCGTCTGGTGTGTTCCCAGGGACAGTGTTTGTGAAGACTCATCATCTGGTGTGTTTCCCAGGGACAGTGTTGTGAGAGACTCATCATCCTGGTGTGTTTCCCAGGGACAGTGTTGTGAGAGACTCATCATCCTGGTGTGTTTCCCAGGGACAGTGTTGTGAGAGACTCATCATCCTGGTGTGTTTCCCAGGGACAGTGTTGTGAGAGACTCATCATCCTGGTGTGTTTCCCAGGGACAGTGTTGTGAGAGACGCATGATCCTGGTGTGTCTCCCAGGGACAGTGTTGTGAGAAACTCATGATCTTGGTGTGTCTCCCAGTCATGGCCTTGAAAGAGACTCAAGACCCCGATGTGTCTCTCAGGCAAGAATGGAGTATTTGTATTCGATATTCGTATTCGAATATATTACTATTAGAAATCCAAGTATTTGCATACATATTCTAATCCTCGGGCAAAATTTCATTATTCGTAGGATAATCATACGAATAATAGTTGTTTTATTGATAGAAATAACCATTCACTTGCCAGCTGAAATTATTTCGAACGAACGGAGAGAGAATTTTTTTTGAGATGTACACTAGGAAACTATATTCTCTAGCCCACCTGCGTCGGTTGTGGAGGTGAGTACTGTACAGTGTCCTTTCTGGGGGCCCACTCTAACTATCTATCACCGAGGCAACACACACACACTACACAGTCATAGTACGGCTGTATAGATGACATTATGTATAAATATTGTATATGGCATTTTATATACGCTATCTTCATCATATATGAACACGAAAAGTACCATAGGTTGTAGTTACACGAAAGTATGAATGAAATAAACGCTTCCAAACCACGGTGAATTACAACGTTTACAGCGCTTGTGAGTGTGTGCCAGACCGCCACGATGCTTGCTTCACCACACCCATCATTCGCGTAACTATATGAAAAACCGTGTTTAATTTTAACTTCCATGTTCAGAAGCATAAATTGCATGTGAATCAGTCACTCCTCATTGACACACTTATAGTGTAATACTTTGACCATCCCCTGGGTGCACAGAGGCCAGTAGCCTCTCTGGAGGCAACATACGCACGAACGCACAAGTTATGATATGAACCCTTCCAGGCTTCACTATCATTATCATGTTATGTTCATCGTGCTCTGTATCTTGGTAACTAGTCATAGTAACAATACATAACAGTGTTATTAGTATAATATTGTAACTTTTACCCTACAGTTATTGTTGTAAATCATGGACAGGAAGGATACATAAATTGTAATATCAAGTGTATGGTTCACTCAAAGCCACCCCAAGTCAGACAACGCGTCACACAAAATTACACTGTGTGTGTGTGTGTGTGTTCTGTAACATTAAGCTTCATCCTTAGTAGGTAAGATGTTTCATAAAGAGGTTTCTCCCATTCGTCATTGTGAGCATCGTCCCAGAGCACATTGTTTCCATCAAAACCATGGCTCATCCTTATTTCCCTTCTTCCGTGTAACTATATCCATATGGTTAAGTGCTTGCTTTTCATTTCTTTATTTACCTGTGGATCAGTTACTCGTTATTTGACACATACATGCACTTAGACCATCAAGATTGTTTTGTAGGCATGACTAAAGGTTAATTGAAACCCCAACAATATTTGTTACATTTATTATGCATAAACATTGTAAACATATCTATGTGATTATTGTAGTATATAACATATATTTAATGTCTGGACAGATTCCCAAGAGTTATGCATATTAATGCATAGATTTTGTAAGCATATTTATGTGAAGTGACGTAAAACCACATTTTTGGGGTTTCAATTAACCAATAGTCATGCCTACAAAACAATCTTGATGCTCTAAGTGCATGTATGTGTTAAATAACGAGTAACTGATCCACATTATTTTGGTAAATAAAGAAATGAAAATCAAGCACTTAGCCATATGGATATAGTTACACGGAAGAAGGGAAATAAGGATGAACCATGGTTTTGATGGAAACAATGTGCTCTGGGACGATGCTCACAATGACGAATGGGAGAAACCTCTTTATGAAACATCTTACCTACTAAGGATGAAACTTAATGTTACAGAACACACACGCACTCACACACACACACACACACACACACACACACACACACACACACACACACACACACACACACACAGTGCAACTTTGTGTTATGCGTTGTCTGACTTGGGGTGGCTTTGAGCGAACCATACACTTGATATTACAATTTATGTATCCTTCCTGTCCATGATTTACAACAATAACTGTAGGTAAAAAGTTACAATATTATACTAATAACACTGTCATGTATTGACAATATGTCTAGTTACCAAGATACAGAGCACGATGAACATAAGATGATAATGATAGTGAAGCCTGGAAGGGTTCATATCATAACTTGTGTGTTCGTGCGTATGTTGCCCCATGAGAGTTACGGTGGGCCTCCATGTGCCCAGGTGGGATGGTCAAAGTATTACACTATAAGTGTGTCAAATGAGGAGTGACTGATCCACATGTAATTTAAGGTTTTTGAAATATGTAGTTAAATTAAACACGATTTTTCATATAGTTACGCGAATGATGGGGTGTGGTGGAAGCATCGTGGTCTGGCACACACACAAGCGCTGTAAACGTTGTGTGGACTCACTGGGTGGTTTGGAAGTGTTTATTTCCATTCATACTTTCATAACTACAACCTATGGTAATTTTTCTTCGTGTTCATATATAATGAAGATAATGCAGAGTATAAAATGCCATATACAATATTTATACATAATGTCATCTATACAGCCGTACTATGACTGTGTGTGTTCGTGCGTATGTTGCCTCGTGATAGTTAGAGTAGGCCACAGTCCAGAAAGGACACTGCCCTAACCTCCACAACCGACCCAGGTGGGCTAGAGAATATGGTTTCCGAGTGTACAGCTTTTCCATTTCCAACTGGTACAGTCTTCATTGTCAATTCATCCCTTCTGTGGTGAACCCTGGAGGTTGACTCAAGTGAATTAGAAGCATTCCTCACGTGAGAAAGGGAGAGAGGGGGGGTCGGGGGGATAACTAGGGCCCACCTGTGTGGGAATGGGTGGAGGCACACTCAAGGAGGAGGGTCAGAATGTAGAGGGCCAGAGTGTAGAGAGAGGGTTAAGGCTTACCTGTGCAGTTACTACGCATTATATATTAAGCTAGGATATAAATACGTAGGACAAAACACAAATTATGACTGGAAGGTGTTACCGAAAAATTAGGGCATACCCAGCTTGTGCTAAAGGAAATAAACCATTCCATGCATATTTACTTTCCAGAATTTACTAGAAAAGAGGACGCTGTAATAACACCCCCCAGGTGGCAGACACATGTATCGGTCATGCATGTGCTCAAACCTAAGCAATGTCACATACTTCAGGGGGCCTTTGAATTTGGCGTCCGTTTACGACAAGGTTGTATTTATGACCCAATGACCAATGGATGCATTGAAATTAAATTATATAAACATCATCATAGTAATAGTGTAACGGACAATAAAAACTTACCCAGTCAGTTGTCAAACACAATTATTTTAAATAACATTACCATGAAAATAACACATAAATGTGCAGAAGTTCCATCTGTATTTCGTGTCTCCTGTAATACCTGGGGCAAGAACGATATGGGGAGAACGTTATTTGTATGAGTTTGGTATATGTTAGAATACAATATTACATCATGTAATAGATTAAATTATATGAACGTATTAGTAAGAGATTATTTAGTGCCATCGCATAAGTCATATATGATAATATTGTAAAATGGTGGACATTGACTCAGATTCCCAGGCGTTATATTAAATGTGAGTAAATGGGTATAATGACGATAGCGTAGATTCCAGCTCACCAGACTACCCAATAGAATAAGTATTTATAATCTTATTAACTAACGCAAAATTTTATATCTGTATGAACGACACCTGACGTCTCTGAGGTATTATGCGACAATGCTCTTAGTGAACACCACCGCCACACTTCCATACTCAAACTTCACTCACACACCACTCATGATAAAGCCTAAAAATATCCTCATTATTTCGAATGTTTACGGTCTCTTATGCCTCGTATTTATTGAGTGTTTTTTCGTATGCTCCCACTTACTGTAGAGGTAACCAATGGCATTTGCTTAATGTTTCTATAATATCCATGGAATGTGCTGGATAAGCAAACATGAAAACACATTATAACACGTGCATTCATGCATAGGACCAGTCAAATAACACAGTTTTGGTGGTAGTATGCTCTTGTGGAGTAATTGTTTTCCTATTACAATGAAGAAGCAATTTACCTAAACAAATATTACATG